AGTGGACCTTAAGTTTACTCAGAAAGCTGCTGACCGGAGCATACCTCACCAGGCAGGTTGCTATTGCAGACTGTAGTGTCCATAGCTTGGTGGGACCTTTGATAACTTCTCTCCGAGAATCCTGAACCTTACCCTCAGACTCCATGAAAGCTGGCCAGCAGCTTCCAGTTCAGTCCCAGATTGATTTCTCAGTGGCTTGCAGCCCAGGTGTGTGGTGTCTTCAGTGATAAGGTTTTTCTGCTCTAATTTTGGTGGGAAACCAGGGGCAGTGACAATAGTCTGCAGTGTTTTGGGGTTCCTAAGTGATCGCTCAGAGAGAGGTATCCCATGCCTGGCATTGGGATTCTCTTTTTTATAATCTTTGACTTCTATGAGAAGCTTTATCCATCATGCAGGTAGCCATCACTTCAACTTTTAAAAGTTATTCTTTTTCCTTTTATTTTATTTTACAATACCATTTAGTTCTACATATCAGCCACAGATTCCCTTGTTCTCCCCCTTCCTGCCCCCTCCCCTTCCCCCCAGCCCACCCTCCATTCCCACCTCCTCCAGGGCAAAGCCTCCCCTGAGGACTGAGATCAACCTGGTAGACTCAGTCCAGGTAGGTCCAGTCCCCTCCTCCCAGACTGAGCCAAGTGTCCCTGCATAAGCCCCAGGTTTCAGACAGCCACCTCATGTTATGAGCACAGGACCCGGTCCCACTGCCTGGATGCCTCCCAAACAGATCAAGCCAATCAACTGTCTCACCCATTCAGAGGGCCTGATCCAGTTGGGGGCCCCTCAGCCTTTGGTTCATAGTTCATGTGTTTCCATTCGTTTGGCTATTTGTCCCTGTGCTTTATCCAACCTTGGTTTCAACAATTCTCGCTCATATAAACCCTCTTCTTTCTCACTAATTAGACTCCTGGAGCTCCACCTGGGGCCTAGCCATGGATCTCTGCATCCAGATCCCTCAGTCATTGGATGGGGTTTCTAGCACCACTATTAGGGTGTTTGGCCATCCCATCACCAGAGTAGGTCAGTTCCGGCTGTCTCTCGACCATTGCCTGCAGTCTATTGTGGGGGTATCTTTGTGGATTTCTGTGGGACTCTCTAGCACTTTGTTTCTTCCTTTTCTCATGTGGTCTTCATTTACCATGGTCTCTTATTCCTTGTTCTCCCTCTCTGTTCTTGATCCAGCTGGGATCTCCCACTCCTACAGGCTCTCTTTCCCTTGACCCTTGCCCTTCATTACTCCCACTCATGTCCAGGCTGTTCATGTAGATCTCAGCCATTTCTCCATCATTAGGTGATCCCTGTGTCTTTCTCGGGGTCTTGTTTTCCAGGTAGCTTCCCTGGTGATGTGAGTAGCAGTCCACTCATCCTTGTTCCACATCTAGTATCCTCCTATGAGTGAGTAAATACCATATTTGTCTTTCTGAGTCTGGGTTACCTCACTCAGGATGATTTTTTCTAGATTCATCCATTTGCCTGCAAACCTCATGATGTCATTGTTTTTCTCTACTCTCTCTCTGTATTCCATTGTGTATATATGTCACATTTTATTTATCCATTCTTCAGTTGAAGGGCATCTAGCCCTCTAAAATTATGATTTTTATGGACTTTCAAAATGGAACATTTCCATGTGATTTTTTCATAAATCCCTAATTTGACTAACTCTTACCTTGACTCCTTCCTCTCTTATTCCTCCATCTCTGCTTAAGCCCTCCCACCCCGGTATTCCTCCCCTCCACTTTCAGATCACATGTGTTCTGATATCCCCCATCCCTTAAGACCTCTTTTCACCCGTCCCCTCTCTAGGGATCCTGTTATCTCTTCCTGGCCTTTATTGACACTCCTCTTTGAACACACCACCTTGAGAAGTCCAAGATAAATCTGCAATGAGCATGGACATCTCTCTGGGTCTGGGTCACACCACTCAATACAATTTTCAGTTCCATTTTCTTGCAAATGTCAGTTTTATTTACAGCGAAGTAAGATCTCATCCCGTATAAGTGGCGTGATTTCTTTATCTAGTCATCAACTGGTGCACATCTAGGCTGGCTCCTTGTCCTTACTTTGGTGACTAGAGCAACAGTGAACATGTCTGTACAAGCATCGCTGGAGGAGGCTGTGCAGTGCTCTTGGCATATGCCCAGGAGTCAGGAAGCTGGGTTGTACGGAAGATTTCCTTTGAGCTTCATAATCAATGCCACACAGACCTCCATCGTGGAGGTACCAGTCTACACTTCAAACAACAGCAAAGGACTACTCTCCTCTTCCCACATCCTCACCAGTATTTGTTGTCACTTACTTTAGCCATGCTGACTGGGATGAGAGCAAATCAAAGTAGTTTTCATTTACATTTATTTGATGGCTAAGGGTGTTGGACACCTTTATAAATATTTATTAGCCAGAGTATTTCTTCTTTGGAGGATTCTCTATTCAGTCCCATAAACCATTTTTGATTGGGCTGTTTGTTTTCTTGATGTTCAATTTTTAAAATTCTTTTTATATTCTGAATATTAATCTTCTGTTCCATTTGTTAATTTTTTGGTCTTATTTCCTAAGCAACTGGGGTACTGTTTAGAAAGTCTGAACCTACTCAAGGGCCATATTTTACTTTCTTTCTATCAACACTATAATCTATCCATTAACAGATTTTATCCACTTGTTCTCACGGCATCAAAAATATTTGGAAAAATTATACAGACTTAAAAATCTTTTCACAGAATATACTTTTAATTGTTGAAGTTTGGCATATTGCTCTAACAACTATTAATTTGACTGTATACTCTGACACTCTTGTGGGTGGGTCTTAGAGGTGGGACAATCCTGAGCGTCTATGTATATGTAGGAATTCAATTGCTTCTAAAAAGATGAAATCAGTCCTAAAGCTAATTCCAATAGAGAAATTGACGATATTAACTTTGGAAACCAAGGTGAAAATGGATTAAAATGGTGGGGCTCAAATGGAGAAAATTTATTTATTTATTTATTATTTATTTATTTAATAAAGACATAGGGAGTATTTTAGGAAAATTTCAAACAGCAGTCTGCACCTGCTAGAGCCTTTTCTTTAGTTTTATTCCCTGTGAAGCAGTAGATTTTTAATTTTTTTGACATTGGGACTCAGCTTTTTGTGTTTTCCTCCCCACTTTACAGGCAGCCAATGTGCTGATTCAAGGGAATTTCATTTTTTCCCAATCAGACAAATGGAACCAAGTCTAGAATACTTACAGCAAGAATTGAAGATAAATACATAACAAAACCTACAGAGAATAAAGCTCAAAGAAAGTAAGCACATGAGTGTGGTTCTGTGCAGAGGTACTGTGTGTGGCTCCCTGAGCATCCTAAATACAGAAGATGACACTCTTTGTCTGCAAAGCCAAACACATGGATGAAGGGTGACTAATGACTGTGAATAGGTGGTCTGCTGCAACACACCTCTGTTATCCCAGCCCATCCGTGAATCTGCTGTTGTGAGAAAGGATACATATCTCCAAATGTTCAGACAGACCTCCACAAGGAGCAGTAACATGCTGTGAGGGTGGGGTATCCTTACCATCTCTCTTTCCTGGTGGTTAGGGGCCAGTGGAATGCATCCCTATGTTCTGGGATCATGATGACATTCTCACAAATCATTCAAAGTTAAAAGATAATTTTATTTGTTCTCAGAGATGATGACATATTTCTTTCAATGTATTGCAACCTCTGAAATTATCTTGTAAGTTACTTCTTTTCAAACAATTAAGATTTTGTTTTTTACTCAATAACACACAAATATTTGATCTCACCCAAAGTTTAAATAGTATGAGGTGCATGGAATATAATGGAGTTCTATAATCACTCCCCTATTTTCCTCAACAAACGAGCGTGCACTATGTAGACCCTTTTCATCACTTAGTGGTCATGTGACCCTGACTATATTACTTCTATCTCTGCTATATTTTGCTCTCCTATAAAGCAAGGATAGGGCTGCATGGAATATTCAGTGGGAAAAGCATTTGCTGCCTAGTTTGAAGACTGGGGTTCAAATCCAAACATCCAATGCTAAGTATGGCTGTAAGCATAGTGCCTATAAGCATAATGCCCTGAAAGAAGAGACCAAAAGAGGGTGTTGGATGCCATGGAGCTGGAGTTACAGACAATTTTGAGCTACCTGGAATGGGTGCTGGGAACCAAATGCAATCTTCTGCAAGAGCTCTATAGTCCCTTGTTATGTCTTGAAGAGCTCTGGTCATAGGCAATAACACAATATAGGATTTAGAGATGGAATGCTGGAATCAAAACTAGACTTGCTCTAAACTTTCATGATAAGGCACAGTCAATCAACAGGTGTTCTATAATTTTTAGTTCAATAATTAGCTTCCCACAGAAGCGAATATGAGATGTGGAAGTGTGACCTGCCTAAGATAGCTAGCTCCTTTATGTTTGTACATGGGGTTAATATTCTGCCATTTCATGGGACTCTCCCCTGAAAGATTGGCTTCCTCCAACAAGCCCAAGCTGTAGCACAAACCATGTAAGTTAATGATCGTAGCTCAAGTGACATCTTTAACACATAGGGTGGGAGATGACTGTCTTCAGTGACATTAAAACTACAGTCAAATATACAACATGTTACAAAGAAACCAGAAGTGGGGGAGTCCCAAATTAGCATAATACAATCAATCAAGATGAAGAAAGTAATTGTCTTATAATAATAATACATAACGATTTGATAAAGCAAGAGTAAAAAATTCACCAAGAGCATTGCATGGGAGGAAAGCTGGGAAGGGAGATGGCGACTTTAGTTTGATAACCTTGCTGAAATGGTGCTCGAAAAAAGAGACAAAGATTTCTTCTTAGAACTGAGCATTGCTCTGCAGTGTCCCCTGATCTGTCCTCAGCCACAGAACAATGGCTGGAGTCATTCTTTCAAAAGTACACATCATAATTCTAGAGGTTAACTGACTCCCAGCATGAGAGATATGATTATCATTATGAATCTTCCCCAGACCCTCTACTCTGTTGGTCTTTTCAATATTGTTGCATTTTGTAGGTTTATATTTTTCAATTTCAATGGACTTTTTTGAAGTGTAAAATATATTGGAAGTACTGAGACAATGCTATAAGGAGGGCAATCCAGGGTTTTCTTTTATGTACTTATTTTTACTGTGTGTTGCTTACACAAAATGACAGATTTCACATGGCATTCTGTTCAAGTATACTGTGAACTGTGTGACTGTAATTCAGTGTCCATCAGCCTCTTATGGCCTTCATTGCCCATTTTTCTTTATTTATGTGCATGCATAGAAAGATGTCTGGAATAACGATTTAAAAGTAGGAAATGCTTTCCTAAAATATCGTGCACAGGAGGACCATGGTTCTTGGGGGTTATTCTGGAGCTTGTGGACTGTGTCATTTTCCTTCCCACGGTGCAAATAAGCTGTCTCCAGAGCCCCCAGAACATGGATTCTGGCTTATGTTTTCTTCTTCTCGTTGACTTAAGGCCTCAAAACATTTCTAGAAAAAGGCTTTGCACCTTCAGGTCAAGTACACGAACGAGGAGCTCAGGTGAAAGTGAGGGCAGCCTCACTATGGCTGACCTGGAAGATGATTTGTTTAAAACGTTAATTACAGTACACACAGCACTTACAGCAAACCGCAGATGCCACTCCATTCAACTCGGCAAACTCCGGAGCCGCTCTCCAGTAGAATTGGCAAAGTTCCCATCCAGATGTGGTCAAGAGAATTTTTTTTTTTTCTGGCTCAGACTGAGTTCCATCTTCTTAGGTTCCCTCTCTGCATAATCCATGGAATGTTCTTTTTCTTTCTCTATGAGTTCATTTGCCTATGGCTGTTGGAATGGTTGCCACCTGGTGTTCCAAAACAAACAAATGAACAAACAAACAAACAAACAAACAAACAAACGCACGCCTCCGTTCCCCTGTGGTCAGTAGCACCAAATGTATCTTGCAAACCCCTTCTATTTTTAAGCACCCCATGTTGTTGCCAGACACTCGAAAGATCTCTGCATAGTTTCCCATAGACCATGGGCACAGTCCGTGATGATGGGCAGGAACACATTTAGCATAGACAGGGCTTCCCTACTGCAGTACCTCCTGCTTCTGCCTGCACGCTTTGCCTCCATCTGTCTTGTGCTCCGGTGACAGCAAGGATTTAATGTGGCTATGAAACCACTCCGTCTTTTGTGAGAAGACAGCAGATTTGGTTACAGTTCAATGTGAAACCCATGCTCTGAGCAGAAGCCATTTATTTAAGACATTCCCCATCCCTCCTCCTCCTTCTCCCCTCCAGCTCTGTCTCTCTTAATCATTTCTCCGGTGTTAACACATCACTATTCTACTCTGGCTTTTCTGAGTTCATCTTTCCTCTCAATCTGCCCACAAGCTTAAGGAACCTAAAACAAAGACAGTTTGAGATTTATCAGATAGCTTACTTCTGATGTTTCACAAAACTTGATTCTGCCAGGAGTTTTTACCCATAGTTTCACAGCATTGTTTATGATCCCCAAACGATGACTCCATCGCCTTCTAATCTTATCAGATATACTGGACATCCAAGTTCAATGCAGGTCAGATTCTGTGTAGGAGGAGAGAAGAGAGCATGTGCCAGGCACACATTTGAGTCTCTTAACAAAAACATGCATTAACAAAAATATGCATTTTTTCCTATAAAGAAAGAGAGGCCAGAACAGTTTACAGAACTTGTCTCAAGTCTTCATCCACTAATGGGGGAGATGGACTAAGACAGCCTGAGTGTACAGCTCATACTTTTTAACTCTTAGCCTAATGTTCTTACCAGAACTGGAGGTGTGATGGAGGCCGGGACCAGCTCCGAAAAGACTTCCAAATGTTTACAACATTCTTTATTGCAGACAGCCCAAGGTTGTTTTTCAAGGCTGGTGGAGCTGCTTTACAGCTAGGGTTAGTTAAGACAAGTTCAGCTCCAAGTACCACAAAGAAATTCTTAGGAAGATCTCTGGGGTATCCAGGACCCACGTGGTACTTATTAGGAAGGTTTGTTCTAATGAATCGCTTTGAGGATTTCAGCTGAGAAGTCAGACTCCGAGACCCTCCTGCCCATATGGGCTGCATTTCACTCAATGGGGGCTTTGTTGCAGCCCAGCTCTGAAGAGAGGTCAGCTGGTGGTCAGCAGAGGAAACCACCACTGAGAAGGCTGGCCCTGAGCTGTGTCCTTCTCCTGCTTTCCTTTGGACAAGCTACAAGAAATCTTTTATGGGCTGGTGTGGGGAAAGCCGATGGGAGCCAGCTCTGTTCTATTTTTATACTGTATTGCTGGTGGAGTTAATTCTGTGGAAAAAAATCGTCAGTGGGTTTGTGTGTTTATGTAGGCCCCTTCGTCTTGCTGCCTGGTGCCAAGTTCCCTGAGTCTGCAAGGAAGCGCAGCCAGACATGTTCAGCGTCCAGGGTCCTCACCCCGTGACCCCTTAATCTTTCCAAGTTTACCCAGCTCTCTCACACCAGCGTCTGCATGGAAACTGATCCCTCAGCCCTTGGCTCTTGGCAGGAGGATACTTCCTTCATATGGAAAAGTGTTTAATACCAATTTAATGGTCTGTCTAGCCACTGTATGCCCGGAGCCCGCCCTCCTTCCTTAATGCCCATTGGCACAGAGCACGGAAAGCTAATTTTTAATCACCCATTTCAAATGCCCCCTACTTACTTTTCAGTATGTCCACTGCTCTTCTAATGAGGGTTCCCCCCAGTTTATTTTTAATCTTGAGAGGCCCAACAGCCACCCTAAGTTACAATGGTGTTCTTAATTAATTTTCATTAAACGTAATTGAGGCAGGGAGGATGAATCTCTGTTTTCATTTTCTTGTTTGCGTCTTTTTCTTTTATTTATTTCTGTCCCCTCTTGCATTTCTTTTTGTCAACATCCAAGAAGCAAACAAGTAGAAATAATTTTGTTATTGACTCATGAAGTGGCTGCTAGTGTTTGAATTTAAAGAGCAAAACTAGGTTTGAGATGAAGCCTGACGGGAGGGGTCCTGCTCAGCCCTGCACAAGTCCCAAGTTCACGCTCATAATAAAATTAATTAATAATAAAGCCAGTAAAAGATAACAGGAGGAAGAAAGACTATGCAAGGAAACACTGTTTTGAAGTTGAATCAGTCACTAACTAAGTTAAAAACTGGAGCAAATCTTGTAGCATTATTTTATCAAAGGTCCTTAAACAATATGCATGCTGTATACATAGTGGGAAATTATTGAAAATGCCAAGAATGCAGGAAGTCCTAATATAAACACAGTACAGTCAGTCATGAAATAGGTGTGCTTTGTTGTGCATTACTCACTTGCTTTATTGAAAGATGAATTGTGAAGGTCATATGTTATTCTTGGCCAAGCTTTTCTTTTGTTGACAGTTTTGCTTTGTTTTTATTGTTAAATATTGGTATTGTTTAAACATCAAATTAATTTGTAAAACCTTATTAATACTATTATTTATTATTACTATCATTTTGGTTTTTTGTGTCAGGGTTTCTCTGTGTAACAGTCCTGGCTGTCCTGGAACTCACTTTGCAGACCAGCCAGGCCTGCAACTCACAGAAATCCACCTGCCTTTGCCTCTCGGGTGCAGGGATTAAAGGTATGAGCTGCCACCACCCAGCATTTTAAAAAACTTATTAGTGGAGATGGGAGTGTGCACAGGGGTCAGGAGACAACTTCATGGAGTCAGTTCTCTCCTTCCATCTTTACGTAGATTCCAGGACTTTAACTCATATCTCTCTCAGTTGACCCAGCAAACACCTTTAACTGTGGAGTCATCTTCATGATCCCTGAACTGTTCAATTATTAAATTCATTTACCTGAAGTCAAAATAGCAATGTGCCTGTGTGGACCCCTAGTGACCCACTACCTAGTCTTGAGAGGAAGAGCCACTTGTCTTCCTGGTTTTCCAGTGAGTCTTTCATTTCATATAGAACATTTATAAATCCACTATCTTTACTATGCTGTCATTAGTCTAAAAGGCCTGAAAAAGAGTGTCTTACCCCTGGTGACACGAGGCACCTTCCTGCTTGCCACTCATGTTCTTCTTTTTATATTTTAATAAACTGCACAAATACTACTTTATAACAATAGATGACAAAGAAAAAATACTGAGAAAACTTCCTACCGATCCTGTCTCCTCCTTTGTCTTTACGTCACCTTTCTTCATGCCTGGGAATTTCTGCATCATATTTCACAAATCCACACATAACTTTTAAACAGTTGTAGTCTTAGGAATTTTGTTTTTGTTTTTAAGACAAAACCTGACCATGTAGTCTTGGCTGGCTTGGAACTTGCTATGAAGACTAGGCTGGCCTCAAACTCACACCTGTTTCTGCCTCCTGGGTGCTGGAATTTAAAGGTGTCCACCACCACCCCCCGGACCATAGGCTCAGGAAATCCTGTCTTTCACTTAATATTATATTCTTAGCATATATTCTGTTGCTGTAAAAACCACTCATTCAACAATATCCTCTTCTATGGGCTTCTATGAGCCAACTAGTATAAAACATTCAATTGTCTTTTTAGCAAGCTACATTATATCTACATAATACACCATTAAGATGATCACTTATTACAATATATACTATTCTAGGGGGTAGATTTTTTGCATTAGAAATAAAGCATATATCTGGTACCCACGTCCTATTCCATAGCAGCAGCGCCCACTCCCACATCCTCCTGGACAAGTGTCATCATCAACTCCAGCTCCTTTATCTTTAGGGTCAGCAGTCATGGATGAGGATTCCAGCTCTTGCTTGCCACTCCCATAATCTTTGAGCTTTTGGGTTGATACTAGTATCTGTAGCAGGAATCTTAAAAGTTCCTTATTAATAAAATCAAACCTGAGCCAGGTATTGGGGTGAACTGGAAGATCAGAGAACAAGAACAAACCACAGCTACCTCACCTCACCGGATCCTCAGCTGGTCTTGTTTACTCAGACTGTAGGCCTCTGAGTCCTCATCCAGAATGGGTCTCAGCTGAATTGCTGCTCAAAAGCCTGAATGCTTAATCAGGCCAAATGCTTAACCAGGTCAAATGCTTCTTGTTCCTGGTCCTCACACCTTATACATCTTTCTGCCTTCTGCCATCACTCCCTGGGATTAAAGGCTCGCTTTCTGAGATTAAAGGCGTAAGTCCCCATGCTTGGCTGTATCCTTGAACACATGGATTTCTGCCTAGCTCTGTCTCCCAAGTGCTGGGATCAAAGGCATGTGCTACCACTGCCTATCCTCTATGTTATATTGTGGCTGTTCTGTCTCTGACCCCAGATAAGTTTATTAGGGTACACAATATTTTGGGGAACACAATACCACCACAAGTATCTACATTCTATTCTGGTATCCATATGAAATATGAATGCACACAACTAAAGAATTAGATGCTGTGGAAACTGCATCTTTACTATAAAACTGAATTTCAAAAATCATGGACAGATACACTGCTGCTAGCAGTAATTGAGATTATCAATGCCACCAACATCTCACAAAGAGCGTTTATATCTCTTACATTTTGACATTTTGATATGGCTTCCACTGGTATCCAGTATTGTGAGGTTTTGCTATTGTTATTGAATTATACCTTACACACAGATGTGCAAAAATCAAAATGTAGCCCAGTGGATTTTCATGTGAATGCATCATGAAGCTCAGTAGGGTCCTTTCACACTCTCAGTACCTGAGTTGGTTCATTTTATCAGCTTGACACAAACTAATCACTTGGGAAGAGGGAACCTCAAGAATTTGTCTCCGTCTTATTGGCCTGTGATCAGGTCTGTGGTCATTTTATTGATTAATGATTGGTATTGAAGGGTTCATCTCACTGTGGGTGATGCCACCCTGAGCAGGTGGCCCTGGATTTTATAAGAAAGCAGACTGAGTAAGCCATAACAGGTAAGCCAGTGAGCAGTACCCCTCCAGGTCCTGCATCTGCTTCTGTTTGAGTTCCTGCCCTGCCCTCCCTCAAAGATCAACTGTGATGGAGACATGGGAGCCAAAAGAATCATTTCCTCCCCAGGTTGCTTTTGGTCGTGATGTTTATCATAGCAACAGAAAGGCAACACTGCCTAGAGACCTCCTTGTGTCTCTCCCCATTTACTTCATGCCCCAAGGTAACTAACATTTTAATCGACAACACTGTGGATTCAATTAGACAATTTTTTTGACATTTTTATGAGTGACTTGAGCAGTAGGTTCTTCACTTAAAAAGCACCCACTATGTTTACCAAGCCACATTCCTATAGCAGAACCCATTTATCTAGCCAGCAGTGAATATATAGTCCATCTTACTTATCCATTCTGCCTCTCTTGAGCACTGACTTCTCCAGCTCTTTGCCTCCAAATAACGCAGATGTGAACATCCTCATACATGGCTTTAGGTTGATGGACAGTGGGAGTTTCTGTCGGGTTAGCTCCTAGGAGTGAGATGTCTGGGTCAGAATTGCTCAGCTTCTCTAGCCCTCGTCAAATGGCTGCAATTCATGTTCCCACTAGAGACACAAGAACTCCAGCTGGCCCCACTCATCTCCAGCACTGAGGGTTTCCACCCTGCTATGGCAGCGATAGTCCCAGCAGATGTGGGGCTCTGTCTTACAGGGATTTGCATTCAGGTTTCCCTGGTGCTTGCCTGATGGGGTGTGGTTTCTCACATGCTAGCTGCCCATTTCCCTGGGAGTGTCTGTTCAAACATTTATCCCCTGTCCTTCCGCCCCCAGATTGGCTGCTTCTCTGCTGTTCTGTTATCTATATTTCTGCCCATGCCACATTTTTATGTAGTTCATACATCTTTTTTTTTATTTTATTTTGCTTTTTTAGAGACAGGGTTTCACTGTGTAGCTTTGTGCCTTTCCTGGAACTCACTCTGTAGCCCAGGCTGGCCTCCAACTCACAGAGATCCACCTGCCTCTGCCTTCCTAGTGCTGGGATTAAAGGCATGTGTCACCACCACCAAGGTGGGAGGAGGTCTTAAATACAAGCTTACAGCACAATGGGAGAACCCTGGAGGGCAGAAGTTCGCTATTTATGTTTTACAATCTTGCATCTAAGCTGTTAACACCCATTGTGCAGGATACACAGACAAGGAACTTCCCTTAAGCATTCAGGAGGTTGAAACCTGGAGGGAATTAGCATAGGGAGGATATCAAGGTCACGGTCAGCAAGCAAGGCAACAGTTACCCAAAACGGGGGCCAGGACCCCACAGGTCCTCCTTTTACTAATAAATGAGCTTCTGACTTATGTTTTGTGGGATGTCAGCAGGTCACCTTACCTGTCATGGAGACACATGTACAGGCCACACAGGCGCTCTGTCTTAGGTTGGTGAGCGCCCCCCAGGCATTACCCGTCTTTGAACACTCATTATCATACAGGCTTAATAGTGTGTGAGTTGCAGAGTTAACTGCTGCCAAAGATCTCAAAGTGGCACTGGGCTTGCAATCTGTGTGTTCGACACAGAAAAGAGCAACAGAAGTCCTAACCCACCCATAGTCAGTAGGCTACAGGCAACTGAGCCATTTCCTTCCTTAATGAGCCTTACTGCAAATTGGAGTCCTTGTAAGATGGTATCCCAAAAGCAAATGGTACTTGAGTTTATAAATTTATAATTTTCAAAGCCAATTGAAATGTATATAATTATTGAATTAAATTTATCATGCCCAATAGAATGAAAAATTGATTAAGGGTGGTAGCTACTTTTGCTGCCAAGGTCTCCACTGTGCTAGCTGTAGTAACCAATTATGAAATGGTAATCCCAGAAACAGTAGCAGCAGTGGCCGCCACTGCTATAACAGCAACAACAGCAGCAGCGATGTCAAATTCTCTTCTGGAGTGTGTGGGCATTCACTGGCATGGATACAACTCCAGGAACATGAACTGCCAAGGCCCATTTTTCTTGATCCCAGCACGACTTAAGCTGGTAGCTCTGCAAAAGAACAACTAAGAGCCATAAAGGAAAAAACAGGCAGCTCACAAGGAGCATAACTAGTGGTCTCATAATGGCTACATTAAGTCTTAATGTGTCACAGCAATGTGTATTTTCTACCTTGGTTATTCTGTTGGAACTATCATTGTCACGTACAAGTCTTTATACACCCTAATAAACCATTTTCACTTTTTTTTTTTTTTTTCGAGACAGGGCTTTTCTGTCCTGGAACTCGCTCTGGAGACCAGGCTGGCCTCAAACTCACAGAGATCTTCCTGGCTCTGCTTCCGAGTGCTGGGATTAAAGGTGTGTGCCACTACCCAGCCACTTTCACTATTTTCTATTTTTTGATTGCTGCTATCTTAAATCTAATCAACTGGTACCTTTATAATATTGACTCTTTTAATCAGTGGTACATTATAGTTTTTTAATGTATATGTTTTGTTCATTTTATATATTTGATTAGCATTTACTAACTTTTTATTGCTTGATACCATCATACATTTATATAATGAATTTTAGTCTTTTTTTTCACATAAAATTCCTCACATTTACTTCCCTTTCTCTCCCACTGGGAACTTTCTTAGCAGTCAACATCCTGTTTCCTCTTCTCAAGCCTTCTTCTTGCATGTAGCTGACTGAGTGTGGGTGGGACGTCATTTACAGGAGCAAGCACAACTTCTCAGTGGTGACATCACTAAAGAAAATGACACCCCTGCCTCCATCTACAGTAGTTGGGGATGCCAAACCATTCTGTGTCTTTGGAATTATATTCATTTGATTATGATATAGTAGCTGCTCATTAAAATGTGGGTTTAATTTGCTACTATTTTTCCTATGTACATAAAATATGTTGGCCTGTAATTTTGGATTACATACTGATTTTTAGGACAGATTATACTAACCGTGATGAAAGCAAATCACACACACACACACACACACACACACACACACACACACACACTTTCGGTGCTCATATTTATTTATTAAGAATGGAGATGCTAAAATATCATATGTATATGAAAGCCATAATTTAAATCCATAATGGCAAGAAAAGTCCTAGCAAATAAAAAATGGAAAGGAAATTCCTTTACATGATAAAGAGTGTATATCAGAAGATTCCCCCAATATTCTACTTAAGGGTCAAATATGAAATTGAGAAAAAAAGAGGAATGCCCCCAGGTCAACCTTTACTCAATACTCTACCAGTGCAAGAAAAAAGACAGCATGGATATGTTGAAGAAAATCCACAATAAAGGCCCCTAGAATTAATAACTTAATTTAAGTTTGCTGGTAACGAGGTCAAAATAAAATCACTAATACCTCTGGATGGCCCCTTATTAGTGCTTAAAAGGATTATTGGCTTAACTACAGTTTATTTGAATTTAATTATTGGGAAGGAAAGCAGGGTCAAGTTTCAATATAAATAATTGGAAAATTAAATGCGGAGTGATGCATTTTGCAATCATATAAAACACCCAAAATTTATAACACAACAGGCAGGCTTCCTCAAGGGAATTCAGATGTTCGGCAAGGAAAGAATAAACACTGCAAATGCTAGGCACTTCTTCCTTAGATTTCTTTTTATTTATGTGTGAATACATCACATGTGTTCAGGTACCCCTGGGTGACAAAAGAGTTGTTTGGATTCCCTGGAGCCGGAGTTATAAGAAGTTGTGTGCCACAGGACTCCTGTGCTGGAACTGGGTCCTCTGCAAGAACAGCCAGTGATCTAAACCACTGAGGCACCTCCTCAACCTCTGTTTTCCCTTTCTTAAACCCCTTGAAATTGGTTGTTCAAATAAAAACTAACTTGTGGATATTTTTTTTCAGTTCTTTAATGAATACTTAATGGCCATGTCAGTTTATGTCATTTATAGTTTAATGCAATTAACTCTTAGAATGGTCAAAATGAAATAGTACAAGGTCCTGCCCACTTTGATCCCACAAACTCTGCAGGATTTGGTTGTTTTCTGATGCCTTTGATGAGCTATCTAGTTTGTTTTGAATTTCTGAAATTTTATTCCTTTTCCAGTAAGGGATGAGGTGGGATCTTAATGTCCATCAAACTGTGAGTTCTGTAGTTAACTTCTTTCAGAAAAATGACACTATTCATGCCTGGAGAATGAGGTAAGGGGGAGATAACTAACTTATCCCAAGGTCACACTGCCTCTAAGCCGAGTGTTGGGAGCAGCACTCGGCTGGTCTTTTGCTGATCTTGTGGTTGTGCTGATTATGTTGGGGAGCAGGCTGCAGGTCTGATGGATAAACTTGGACAGGGACTGTGCATTTCTAGATGTTTTCTTTGCTGTGTGGATTACAGCAGGGGAGGAAGTCAGGGTTTTCCGAAGGTAAGACCATTTCTGCTGCTGCTGTACCTGAAGAATGTTCTGTTTTGCAGTGGCCTTACAGTATTCTTGAGGGAAGTGGTGTCCAGGAACAGCCACTGTCTTCTGCTGGAAGCTAATTGAAACCCTATTCCAAGCCAAGTGGAATTATGGAGAAAAATCTGCTGCCCCAAATGGAAAATACATTCCAGATAAAAGATACTGGGGTTATCTGAGAAGAGATAATCGAGTGCTGAGTGTATTATGTCATTTTGTTCTAAAATTTGATTCAGTTTTGTGAACTTAACCTTAAAAATAACTGCCAGACGCTTTCCTATTGCTTAAAGAATGCTACAGTTAAACAAGAAGCTGGAATGCCCTCTACCAGGAAGCTTTTCCCTCTTCGTTCTGGAGCATGAGATAATCCCCTACCCTGGCCTGAGTCTTCAGCGAACTGTTAGGTTTATTTTCTGTACTGAATGTAGCTCCTGAAGGTTATGTCAGGAAAATTCTGTGCTTGCCAGAGTAATAGACTATCTACCATAAAAGTATACCAGAAGACCCTGTAGCACAGACCAAGGACATTCCCATCTAAGGCTGAGAGCGATCAGCTCCATTTCCTGGACTGTTGACATTGTATGCTAATATGGTGCACCTGTGATCAAATGAACTGGTTAGTTAGCCAGACTAAGGCCCATGTTTCCGACGCCCTCCATTTTTCATCTAAATTTTGTCTCTCCATGTTACAACCAGTCACTGAGTCTCTGTAGAGTCCTTAGGGAAATGGCAGCCTCCTCACTTCCTTGTTTGGGAGTGACCTTCCTGATTTGAAGGAGCAGCACTCTGAAGTTTTAAGTTCCTCCTGTTAGACTGCAGTTGTGAATTATTTGGAGAAAGCCTGTAGAGATAATTGCCATTCCCACCTCAGGTCAGTGGTAGCTGCTCTCAACAGAACTTCCCAAGGATGCTGTTGACCTTGGGCTCCTGGCTGGGCTACTGATTGTTCATTATCTCCTGCTACACTGCTCCTTTATCCTCTTTTCACGTTGTGCTTTCAGATGAAGTTTCTGTGTGTGGCTCACACAAAGGAGGAGACTTTGGGCTCCGTTTCTTTGAGGGTAGACTATCTACTCAAAGTATGTGGACTCATCTGTATGGGAGCTTTGCCTT